TTCTGATCTCCAGTCAGAAGATGCCTTTAATTCAAGTAGAGTCACTTTTTTATCACCAGCGCGGAACCCTGCGGTAGCATACTGTTACCACATCTGCAGCATTCCTAGAAAAATGCTGCTGTTTTGCAAAGACTTGTGCAATGCGATGCTTTCTCCTGTGCCTTTCACATGCTTCTCGATGACATGCAGGGTATGGACTGAGAGTCTTGGAAAAATTTGAAGAACCTTTGCTTGCTTTGAGTCACACACTTTGTTACTTAGAAAAGGCTCAACCTCCTAAGGGCCTGAGTGCCAGTTCCAATTCCTCCCTCCCTGTGTCTGGGAACATAAATCACACAGCTCCAAACTTCTCAGCTTTCGTAAATGGCAGGCCTGGTTCATGCATGATTTATCAATTATTGCTGTGGGCCATTAAGATAGATTTCTCAGCTTCAGGTAGGCTGCAGCGGGGTTGTATAGTGTTGGTTTAGAATTTCTTAAGAAGCTCAGTAGTTGACAACCCAAACAATACAACTTCCGTTTGCCCTTGTGGAAGGCTTTTTGGTTTTAGGTGGGATTTTTTTTTTCTGATGATTTCTTCTCCTTTTGAGTTTTGCCTTGGGGTGGGGGGTGGTTACTTCTAAGCAAGAGTAGTCAGAAATTCTCAAAGCCGCTCTTTCTCTGAAAAGAGCACATCTAGCTCCTGCAGATGAACGGGTAGCAATTCCTGTGACAGTTCAGCAGAAGAAACAACTTGGAGCCTCACCTGTTGCCCCTCATGATTAATGGGAAAACCATGACACTTTGCAGATTCTGGACTGGGGGGGGGTGCCCTTCATTCTTGCTAGCACAGAAGACTCTGACTTCAAGTATGCTGCACTCAAAGGAGGTGGAGATTTTTGTGGCTCTGTCACCTCAGGACAGTTTCCCTGTGGAACCTCTCCTAGGACAGGCTAGGATCTGGTGGCTGGTGCCAAAAAGGAAAGCTAATTAATGTCTGTGTAAGCTGTGAGAGTCTACAGTGGTTCCCAGGTGAGGAGTAAATCGATAAGGGCAGTGGCGGGGCTGAATGGAATAACATGGTTCAGCACATCATGTCTGGGCTTTAGGAAAGGGGGATGTGGTCTTAGAATTTCTAAGGTTGGTCTTCAGAAGACCCCTTGGAAATGGTGAGGAGAAATGGCTTCCTTTTCTCAGATGTTAATAAAGCATGAAGATACAAGGTCTGGCCACCCACCCCAGTGCCGTTTCATTTATGTGGTCCGTGGTCACATGCACACAGCTCAAGTGTGTGTCCATAAGGTCTCCTCCTTCCACTGGGCTGTGAGGCTGTGCATCATTGTCAGATCACGTGTCCTGCTGCACAGTAATGGCCTTGGCCTTCTCCTCCCCAGTCTTGGTCAATTCTGGTTTAAAAGGAGGAAGTGGTTTTTAGTTAAACATGTGTTTAGTTGAGGACTTTTAGCCTTCTTCTTCAAATTAAGAGAGATAACTTTAAACAATTACAAAGTTCTGGAGTCTGGGGAGGAGGGAGACCAGGCCAATCTGCCTGACCGTAAGTGATTCCTGGACTCTTAGGGAGTCCTGTTTCTGAATGTGTTTGTGGTGACTTAGTTTGGGCCACCACAGTGAGAGACACCTGTCCCACTTCCCCCCTCTCCATCCTATTTGCATTCCCATGAAAAGCCCAAGTTGTTGCTGTAAACCAGGCTGGCTGCTAGCTAGCAGTTAAGCTAGTAGTGAGAGCCATTCAGAGTGGAGTGTTCCCGACAGACACTGTGTTGCTCCTGGCCCGGGGTACCGAGAGCACTAGACCCCAGAAGCAGCCAATTGGGTGGTATCTTTTAATTTGCAGTATTATATGAACATCAACATGGATTCAGATGGATGCTCTTCAATAAACTGTAACCACAGGAGAAAAGGCTTTATTGACTCTCAAGTAAATAATGCACATTTTAAAGGACCTAAATATGCATTTACATAATGTACTGTAATTTTTTATTGTGTCAACTAGTCACACACACACACAAACACACATCTATAAGAGATGTTTGTCTTCATCAAAAATTTGGACTCATAGCACTCTGTGCATTCCATTAACATCATGCCAGCTTCATCATGGTAGTTTCTCTTCCATACAGCTCGCTCTAGCCATCGCAAAGAACATTTAATGAATTAATTGTTTGATTGATTTAGCTCCAGTGACTCCTTCTAAAATGATTTGAGACAACTTAGATAAAAAATTAGGTACACTTAGAACATCAAATCCAAGATAAAAGGAAAGAAAAAAGTAGTAGAGAGGAGGAAGCAAGAAAAAGCTAAGATTAAATCTTAGCTCTGGACTTTTAATGGGCCTGGGTGTCCAGTAGAAGATGAAGATTATCCAGAGAAACACCAGGGATCCAATAGTAATCCACAGATCTTTTAAGACGTCTATAACCAGTTTTTCTCTGAGGAAATTAAAGGTCATGTTCTAGAACCACCCGCTTCCATCTCTACAGTGAACGGCTAACTCTATCCCCAGCAAGAGAAAAGAGGCTTGAAGAGGACAGCCGCAGAAATGCAGACTCAGCAGATGTCTGATTTAGAACTTCAGGCCAGATGACTTCCTGGAATTAATTAAGAATTAATTGTTCCTAATCAATCAGTCATTATAGAATTAATTCTATACAGTACCATATATTCTTAGGTTTGCACTGAATTCTGCACCATAAGGAAAAGATGAGTAAATTGCCATTGCTAAAATGTAATAAAGAAATTAAAGTCTAAATTTACACTGCTAATGATTTTCTTTTACGTCTTTAATAAAATAAGTTCAGTGATGTTTATTAACAATTCACGGAGTGAGTGCGTGGTGCTGGTGAATTACTTCTTTAACTTTTATCTACTTAATCTTCGCTCAAGCCAGTGGTTTACTTCGGGCAGCATACTCTTGTTGGCTCCCAGGATTCCTTATCTCAGAGCCACTCATCACTTTCTGTGAGAACCTGAGGCAATGCCACTTTGTGGTCAAGGTCAGTCTCACAGGGCTCTTGACAATGGAGTTCCCACTTTGTGTTTGACGTGCTGCACCAGTTGAGTCTATAATTTTGTTCAGCTCAGTACGTTCCTACCCTCATTTGAGAAATAACACCTGCAATGCTAACTAGAAATGATTCTGTCAAAAACAGGGCTCTGGTCAACGTTTCTTGTTACCAGCAGAGACAACTACATCACGCTAGAGGAAGAAAAAAATCCTTTCATTTTTTTAAATACAGTAGCACAAAAGGAGAAGAGCAGTCCAGGAGCATTTAACTCTTTAGCTTCTGAGTTTTCACTCCAAGATAATAATGAATTCCAGGATTTAATTTTATTGTATACAGTCTTAACTCTCAATCATTTTTCTTCCATGTTCTCTGACTCGTTATCAGGAAACAAAAATATTATTTTGTCCTTGGCAAGTTTTATGGTTATTTTTCTTATTTTTTGTACGCCTTTAGTCAGCCAGTGAGTGTGCAACCAGCAAATATTTATCAGGTGTCACACTCAGTTCTGAGTATATGGAGTGAGTGACTAAGTGGATAGAAAAGCTGTCTTCCAAGCTGGGAGAGGGGAAGTGCAGAAAATTCTGATTCCAATAGATGTTTGTGATGTCCTCAGTTGTATGGTGAAGAGGAAAACTTTTTCTGGTTTAGCCCAATTTTGTCTCTTGAAACCATAATGGAAGCCTGTGAATTTTTATTGAATGAATTCAAGTTTCCTGCAAACAATGACTTACTTGAATATCTGCAAGCCTGTATTGGTGGCCTGCTTCTACTCCAGCCCACATTTCTACTCTAGAAACTACAAGGGTTGCTCTGACCCACAAAGCCCTAGCCCTTTATTTTATATATATATATAAACCTAATCTTCAAGAGACCCCAGTAACAGTAGGCATGCATTCTTAGCCATTCCAGTGGGATGGATGGTGGAAGAAAGGAAGAGCCTACTGAACTTGATTCTCTTCAATATTATGAATTTCTCTTGGTATTCAGAAAGTCACATTCTCTAAAACTGAGCACTTCTGTGTTTCTCTTTGTAGGGGTCCCTTCAGTGTAAAGATTTAAACTATAAAAGCGGGGAGAGAATATGTATCCCCTGTCTGGAGTCTTTTCTGGTATGCTTGGACTTGGGCTAAGTGTTATCAGCCCCCTCACACGAAGCCCTTATCCTCTGGCAGGTCTTGGCCATCATCTCTCCAATTCAAGGACAAAAGCATTCCTGGAAAAATTATTAAGATCTCGCATACGCTTTTTTATCTAATGTAATCTTGTACAAATGATATTTATCAGGGTTCGAATATAAAGGAGTCGTTGTCTGAATCTCTTATCAGATTTATGGCAGAGAAGCAACCTTTCACAAAGTTCCTGCCTACTCAGCCTGTCGCTGCTTTAGCTTTGAAAGGGCAACAGAGAAAAATGCAACATAAACCTTCCACTGTAAAGTGAGGCACCCAAATTGCATGGGTTCATTACGTGATCATTTACTACAGACTTCAAAAAACTCTAGGCCTGAATTAGTCCCTAGAAATTTCCTTGAAAGGAGTGTAAGAGCTTTAACAATGAATTATTATCTATGGGTAGCTCAGCATGAAAGGGGATCCATATGTGCAAAGTAGAATTTGTCAAATGTAATGTCGGTTAAATCAGGTCTAATCTACCAAATACATTTTTTATTGCTTGCTTCATTAAAAAGGCTCTTAAGGTAATGAATAATCTTCATCTTCAACAAGGATTATTAATGCCTTTATAACTCACGTCCACTGAACATCGAGAGGCAACGTGAAACTCGATCCTGCTCTAACCTCCATGTTTGTCTTAGAGCCTTAAAAGAGAAAATCCATCAGAACTGTCCAGCGCTACATCCTGTCACATGAGCAACATTTTCTTCCAGGAGAAGAAGTGGAAGGAAAAAAAAAAAAAGGAGGCTGAGTTTGGTTCAGCTGTGGCAAAGCAGGGTTCTCCACAGCCCTGACGTGTTCTGTTTTGTTTTGTCTCCTGCAGCAAGTCCACATGCAACGCCATCGACTCTCCACTTTCCGACATCACCCATCATCCAGCAGCCTGGGCCTTATTTCTCACACCCAGCCATCCGCTACCACCCTCAGGAGACGCTGAAAGAGTTTGTCCAGCTTGTCTGCCCTGATGCTGGTCAGCAAGCTGGACAGGTGGGCTTCCTCAATGTAAGGAAACTTTTTTTTTATTTTTTCCTATTTCTCTAGAAATGCTAGCCAAATGTAAAAATATCAAGAAGACCCTTTATGACCACGTGATTTTGTGTTCTAATGTCATGCTGACTGACTGCAGGCAAACGTCAGATTTATTCTAGATTGTGGGAAAGTTAACTTGCTGTGAGAGTGATTGGCCAGGGTTTAAAAACAAGGTTTGTGTTAAGTTTGCAACTGTCCAGCTTATGGATATAAATTGTCTGGAGAGTGAACTGTGTAACCTTCTGAGTTCCACCTCCTGCATTCTAACCCCAGGATCATATAGTTAACAAAATAGAAAGACTGAATAATTTTAAGTAATGATTTGGGGTAGTAGAGAGAGGTAGGGAGCAGAAGGGGACAGATGTTTCAGATCAACCAAGTTGATGGGTTTTTTTAAAAAAAAATACAATCTTCTAACACTTTAGATCAAGTTGACCAGTACTTGAACTCAAGATGCTAGAAGCAAAGTTTATTATGGTTTGTTATTTCTGCGAGTAGTTATCTTTCCCACTTATCTTCATATAAAACTAAGCCATGTTCAATAACTACAAATGAATGTTTTCATTTTTCTCAAATAAACCAAATAATCACAATTTGAAATAGCATTCCAATAGTAAAAGTTATTTTATAAAATCGCAAATTTTATTACAAATATAAAGCTATATGTTTACAATGAATAGCTGTATCCCAAGGCCAATAGCAATAATAATAATAAATTAAGTCCAGCAGAAAGCCATATTTTATTTCCTTTTCTCATAATATCTATGCATGAAACCACAGATTAGCCGTAATTCTTATTGCCTGGTTTAGGGTGGTATGTCACACTGCTCTGTCGGTTTTCTCCCCTGCAGAAAGACCTGATTCTGCAGATTTGAGCCAGAATGGGCAGCTTTGACTAATGTCTGGTGATCTGTTCACAGATACATTTCTGTCTAGACAACAAATCGATATGGTGCCCTTTTTTTTTTTCATTTTGCTTGTGTATTCATTTGCTTGACTTATTCTAAAATATTCACTTACGGACTTTTGGTCCACACAGAAACTATACCCAGGCAAGGATACTGGTGAGAGTGCGCAGCCTTCTGCGCCTCAGACAGTATCTGAGGAAAAATACTAAAAATACCATGGATGCTGGTTAGTGAAGGAGTGAGCCTGCCTCTTCTGCAGAATTACTAGGTTTCTTCTTCAAAGCCCCAGACAATGGGACCTCCTTCGAGTGAATTTTGGTTTGAGGCTGCTGTCTACATACAGGCCATTGCTGGCTGTAACTCGTTATGGAAAGCCACTTGGGAAATCATGGGAACCTGAACTGATCACTGGCACCAAGTCTGACTTCTGAACATCCAACATGGTCTTTTTAATAGTCATGACATCATTTTATATAACTGTCAAATACCCTGTTTTGCGTTTTGATCAAAATTTTACAGCGTTTGAGACAAGTCTCTCCATAAGGCTATTTTGAAGATCTTGAAAATAAATGTTGCATGTTCTCTTCTGAGGAAAACTTGATTTTGTTAGAAAGATGTTCTTTGGCTGTTCTAACACTAGGCAGCCAGAAAAGTGTGAGTCCCATGGCATTTGCTGATGTAAGTCAAACTAGAAGGGGTATTTTTGCCTAATAGAAATCTGATCGCTAAATATTAAAGTTTCCGAGCCTGATGCTATATGATATGTGAAAGAAAATACCTCTGTTCATTGAATACATTTATTAACTGTCTTACAAGACAAACTTTAAGAAATGAAAACAAAATATCATTTTATATATTTTCTGTACATATTTAATGATCATGGTTTTACCTGTATAAATACACATAGAGGAATGATGCCTCAGTCTAGTTAGCATGTAGGTATAAAACAAGCATTTTACAATCATGAAAATGTTGTGGAAGCAGCAGCTAATACAGCACTGAGCAAGAGTTGGTTAGTCAGGGATGGACAAGTCCAGACTGCTCCTGGATGTGACACTCTGGGGAACCAAAGATCAATGTGCTTCCAAGAGCCTGAATATTAGTGATTTGCATGGCAGGTACCCAGCAAGTCTTTCCTTGACAGAAGCAGCTAATGGCTGACACCCGTTGATTCTTTTCCTTGTGTGTGTTTTCTCCGAACCCGTGCAGCCCAATGGAAGCAGTCAAGGCAAGGTGCACAACCCATTCCTCCCCACCCCAATGTTGCCGCCGCCGCCGCCACCACCGATGGCCAGGCCTGTGCCTCTGCCCATGCCAGACACCAAGCCTCCAACCACATCCACAGAAGGAGGTGCAGCCTCCCCCACCTCACCGAGTAAGTATGACCGAGACAAGGCGCCGGTTCCTTACTATGCTCTCTGCACGTGAGTTCACACCTAAGCCTTGTCCTTTGCTGTGCAGGCTTTAGCAACAGGCACAGATCCCACCGCTCTGTCTATAGCATGAGCTGGCAGAGCCCAGGCCCAAGTCACAGTGAATGCCACTCCCATGTACTGTCAGACGACACCGGATACGGAAATGATCGGGTGTAGGTGGCGGATTAAGATGCTGTAACGACATGCTAAGGACTGGGAACAAGATACAAACTATTAAATTGTGTCTATTGCTGGAGTGGTTTGCAGAGAATGCTATTCCCATGGTGTTCTAGGAGCATCTGCTTGTGATATTCTTAATAACAAAAGGTTTGATTATCCCTAGAAACTTAATGAGAGATTAAAAATTATGTGCCTTAGGCATAACATATTTAAAAAGTGTCTAGATCAAAGTATCCATCCAAAGGTATGGGCATCGAATGTGGCTGAGAATGAGATGGTCCTGATAAAAAGGCAGAGCTGGAAGCCGGGGTAGCTACATGAGGAGGCTGGGGAAGGGAAGGAAATAGGGTAGGACTGAATGGAGAAAGAGAACCTTTTGACTTTCTCTCAACAGTCTGGGAGTACTTAATCATAAAATAGAGGATTCTGAAATCTGTTTGTGCGATGGGAATGATGAATTCAACAACAGCGAGCCATTCTCCAGATAGTCCTTGGTGTTTGGGAGCTGGAGGGGCTGGAAGGGCTATAAAAGGTGTGAACACACAAATACGGTCTTTATTCATGTCTGGCGGAAAGAGTGATGCTGGGGTTTCCAGGTGACCTGGTAGCCTAGCCGCGAAAGGTGGTGCGATGGGCCCCTCCATAATCCTTTAGAGAGGATGCCAGTATAGAAGGGAGCAGCGGCAGTGCCCCCAGGAAGAGCCGGGGGGTGGCGGGGGGGGGGGGGTGGTGGCGGTGCGGGTTCCTCCGAAATGAGAAAAAGGTGTGAGCGCAGTTAGAAAGAGGAGTATTAAGGTCAGGAACTTGAAGAGCGGTAATAGCAGTTGAATGAAAGGGAACAGGTGGAGGGGTGTTTTGTAAATATAAACAAGCATTTAAATAAGAAGGCCTCTTGGCTTTCTTACATTCAGTGTTGTAATTAATGGGTTGGATACAGGAGAGAAAGAGCCAAAGAGGAAAGACAGTCCCCTACTTAGGTCATAGTCACTGGAACTGGCTCTGGGGACACTGGATCTAAAGAGACATGCATCTCTCTCGGACATAGATCAGAGAGTGAACTCTGTATTATCTCGTATTGATGTAAGTATTACCTAGTATTTATTGGGGTAAGTAGATGGCATTGTGTATGAATTCTGCAGCAGAAAGACTGAGGATCCAGAGGCAGTTTGGGGAGATAGACCTGTCTGGTAAGAGATGGTTCAGTCCAACACGCATCAGCAAAGGAGAGAACCAGTGTCCACTGACGTGGGGAGGAAGCTGCTTAGCTGTGAGCTGTCAGAACATCCCAGAAGCAAGCTAGGAATGGGGTGGAAAACTAGTACTAGTAATGGATGGAAAGTTAAGGGAAACTTACGCTTTTTTTAAATCACGTGCTTCCTTAGAAACTAAAATTGCAGGATGGTTTGACCTGTTTATCCTTAGCAGCTTTTCCGAGCCCAGCTACAGCAGGAAGTGTGTCAGGCAGGCAGGGTGTTGAGTTCAGTGTTCAGCATCCCAACAGTATATCCAAAACTGAAGCCTGTTTCAAAGAACAGTGGCAGGCACTTTTCTATTTAGGGGTTTGGGTGGAATTGCTTGCAATAAAATAAATTTTTTTTCAGTTAAAAAAAATAAAATAGAACAGGAAATCAAGCCAAAGGTCTCCTCTATTACCAACTTTAGGGAGGACTCAACTCCCTCTTGAATGGGAACAGCATTAACTCCTCTGCCCACTCACAGCAGGTTATCAGGAGGGAGTAAGATAATAGGCATGCTGTGGACAGATAAAAGGCCAAAGCAACATTTTTAATATCATCTCATAATGAAATACAAATGGATGCCAGCCTAGAGCAGGGTGCGTGTTGCCTCTGGCACTAATACTAAACTTTTCAGCATGACCAGAACAACATGGGCAAGGCAGATCTGAGGGGGAAATGCCTGTAAAACAAGTATATTTTAATAGGAAAAATCTGTCCCCATCCCCTTAAAAATCAGGGAAGTGGGAGTGAGGAGAAAGTTGTGCTCTTCCCTAACAAGAACTTTGATATTTTTGTATGTGTTCAGAACCATTGGTTACACTGTGTACAACTGTTTAGAATGTGACAGAGAGGACCCATGACCTGTGAGAGTGGTTCACACAGTGTGTTCCACTCTCACTGATAAGCTGGTGATGTGGGCTTCCATCCCCACTGGAAGAAAAGCTCTTCCCCATCCGTGTTATTGAGCATCAGCTGTGTGCCAAAAACCCTTCTGAGCGCTAGGCTTCAGCACCTAGAACAGGGGATAAAAGTGATTTAAAAATCCTGATCTTATACTTTATTCCAAAGAGGAAGAGAGAGAATGAACAACACAGTAAGTTTGAAGGCAGTTCATGTAGGACAGTGATCCCTGTGCGTGCAAACCCGTGAAGCATAGACGGACAAGAAGCGGAATCAGTAGGATAGCATGCCGTCAGGGAGCAAGACCTTCCAGCCCTTTGATGTTGGAGAACGGCCCTGATGGGGTGGGAGCCCATGCCTGGTAGGTAGAAGGATCAGCCAAAGCAGCCTGGTGTGAGTGAGGAAGTAAGAACAGTGAGAAAGAGAAGATCAGAGGAGACACAATGAGGATGGAGCAGGGCCTTGGGAGCATGGAGCTTGCAGGCCAGTGTCAGGGCTTGGACATTTCCTGCAAGTGAGACTGTGAGTAGAGGAATGCTTCCTAAAGCCCAGATGTTAGTAGAAAATCGTGGAGGGCTTTGTTGAAATAGGTTGAGGGGAGGAACAAAGGCAGGACATGATGGATGCAATGAGTGTTTTTTTACATGCCAGCCCCCCATTCAAGACAAAGGAGTACCAAGGTAAATGAAACAAATAAGTGTTAATCGAATTGCTAAATGGTCTTTTAATTAAAAACAAAAAAAAACAAAAAACAAAAAACCTGGAGCCCGATATTGGTGTAAATGCAGAGAGATCAGAGAGACCAAGGGACAAGCCACTGCCACGTCTCACCTCACCAACTCCACGAATCCTCTGACTGAAATCCCCTGAGTCCTTTCCCAAAAGGCTCCCAGCCGAAAAACCCTCTAGCTGAAAGGGACGATTCTGCCGAAAAGCCTTTAGTTCCTGTCTCCTCACGCCTTATATACCTTCTCTGCCCAGCCCTCACTTCCTGGGATTAAAGGCATATGTGCTTCCCAGTACTGGGATTAAAGTTGTGTGCCACCACTCTGGCCTCTATGTTTAATCTAGTGGCTTGTTCTGTTCTCTGATCCTCAGGCAAATTTTATTAGGGTACATAATATACCACCACATAAGAACTTTCATCCTGATGGGAGTAGAGACCCAAACCAACAAAATGCACATAAGTTAGGAGGCTAGGGACCAGTAGATAAGATTGAGAAGGCAGGGCTGGGCAGAGTATGGTGGAGGTGCTATGGCCATCACCCAGCTGACAGTTGTCTAGGCACTGACCTGGGGATGGAGGCCAGTAGAGGCTGTGAGAAGCTCTTGGACACCAAGAATATTCTAAAGATAGAGTTGGTAAGCTTTGCAGAGGCATCTGATATGGGCTGAGAAGAAGGGAAGAAGTCAAAAGTGGCCTGTAGGGTTTTAGCCTGAATTCCTGAAAGAATGAAGACAAGAAGATGTTAGGAGAAGCCATTCTGAGTGGAGGGTGGGCACTAGACGTTTGAGCCTCTTAGACCTCCCAGTGCTCAGGCTAAGCAAACTTGCAACCCTGGGCAGGTTACAGAGTTTTTCAGGGTGCATCTCCTCCTCCTCCTCTTTTTGTTTTTTTGTTTGTTCATTTGTTTTGTATTTTTTGAGACATGGCTTCTCTGTGTAACAGCCCTGGCTGTCCTGGAACTCAAACTGTATACCAAACTGGCCTTGAACTCACAGAGATCTGCCTGCCTCTGTCTCTGCCTCTGCCTGCCTCTGTCTCTGCCTCTGCCCTGCCTCTACCTGCTTCTATTGGGATTAAAGGTGTGGGCCATCACCACTTGGCACATCATTTTCTTAATAAAGGACTTCTTTTCAAACATACAACATGACATAAGAGATTTTTAAGAGGCTGCATGTGGTGGCACACGCCTTTAATCCCAGAACTCTGGAGGCAGAGACAGGTGGATCTCTGTGAATTCAAGGCCACTCTGGTCTACATAGTGAGTTCCAGCCAGCCAAAACTACATAATGAGATTTCTGCCGCGGCCCCCCTCCCCCCCCCACTTAAAAAGAGAGAGAATTTTTTTCTATGAGTTCTGAGGACTATAGCTCTTAATGCCGTAGCTTGGGACTAGCTCATACCATAAAAATGGAATTTTCCCTAATTTTTTTTCTGAAGTAAAGATTGGCATCATAACATGGAATTAGAATGCAAAGGAGAAAACACTTTTAAATTATGGTAAGAGATAAAAATATGCATATTTTCCTTTGTTAATTAATTAAAAATCAATTTAAGGTGCATTTAAAAACTCATAAACATTTTCTCCTCCATTCCTCCTTAGTTATGAACTTTTGATTTTTTTAAACTGAAATCCTATTAAAATAGAAGCATGTAATAGCAAGTTACATTTATTGTTTATTTTTATGTCTCAAATGAATCTTGTATCTGTTTCATTCTGTAAATGAATATGCACCTATAATGGAGAGCATAACAATTATCTACCACCAGAACAGAAATGTTTAAGCCTAACAATTAACATATGTTCAGTGCCTTTTGATGAACAGAGCTCTTTACCTGTGTGTATTATTTTCCTATACTCCTTTGAGGTCAACATTTTATAGACAGGGCAACTGAAATGAGAAAATTAAGGTTACCT